GTGTTAATTTTGAGGGATTAGGAAACTGGGATACTATCACTGAATGCAAGCCCCACTGATTTGCAAAGAAAGGGTGTAAGTGACACAGAGGAGAAAGGGGGGTTTGGGTGATACTGAAGATGCACTCCGCCAATTTGTCTATTGCATTTCTCCAGAAACATGGGTGGCCCTGGCAGAAGAGGCAACAGTGCTTTAGCTTGTCAGCCACTAGATTGAGAAAGCGGCCAACCTTCGTCATCGGTCAACGAGGCGCTTGCCTTTCTCTTCCTTCCAGACGACCAAGAACCCTACAAAAATAAATATAGACACTTCAAATGTATTGGAAGGGCAAGCGAAAGCATCCATCCACATCAGGATTTACAACCTGCACTACAAAGCAAGGGGAAAGACGGGAGGATGTGTCGGTCAGCAGTTCCTCACTGAAACAGCTACAGCCCCTGCATTGTAAACTACAATGTAAACCTGATACCCAAATACGCTGCTATTTCTGTTGCGGCTGTCTGAGATTCTTTCCACATATATAACACATGTCCTTTTGCATGCTACAACATTTGTGCATTTCATCCCCACCCACTCCTCCTCAACGTCACAAAAAGGCAGTGGGGGGAGGGGGCCATCTTCCATTCGGCTGTATACTTGGGAGGCATTCTCCTCTCACACCTCAGAGCCATCTCCAGAGGCTGTTTACTCCAGTAGCGACGGAGGCAAAGAGAGGAGTGTGCCACATTGCCCCCCTCTGTACACCAGATGGCTCACTGGGCTGCTTGAAGTCAGGTGAGCCAGTGGGGAGCCCCTCCCTGTACCTCCACAGTACCCGCAGACACAGATACGGGAGCGTGCCACCCCCACCCCCTGCTAGCTTGCTGGGCTCCCTGCAGTCCAGCAAGCCAGCTTTGGGGGGGGGGAGGCAAACTCCTCTCTGTGCTCTGCTACCTTCTGGATCATGCCAGAAGGTACAGGGATGGAGACTGGGTTATCTTAAAGTCATATCAGTTTCAGTTTGATAAGAAAAAGTAAGGATTGCATGCATTCCAGTCTTCCTAACATTTCTATTTCCCCCCAGGAAAATCTAGGTTTTTTAACGGCTTCCAAGTTTGTAGAAATTTTACATTATTCATAGGAACAACCAGGGGTCATTTCCTGCAGGAGCGCACAGGAGCGGAGCTCCGGCAGTAAAGAGCCCAGGGGGCGGGCACATGCAACAAGTCCCACCCGTACATTATATTCTGCAAGTTTCAAGTTAAAAAAATGAGGGAAAGTGAACCAGAAATCTAGTGGCACCTTTAAGCCTACCCAATTTTATTTTGGGATAGATTTTACTTCACGAGATGCATAATGTGAGGCCTGACTCACGAAACCTCATATTGAAATAAACTTCGCGAGTCTTAAAAAATGCCACTTGGTGCCTGTTTTACTTTGCCACAAAACGGCCACTAATGTACTGCATTTCTGTAACAAGAAGATTATTAGGACAGAAAAATGGCTGTATTTCAAAAAACTTGGGCCGTTCCCCCAAACAGAAGCTTCTGAAGGGCAAGTTCTTAGAAGACCCATCTTGGCTTTACCTTTTTTATTTATCTACTTCATTTATACCCCACCTTACTTCGCAACAGGGACCCAAAGCAGCACACATCATTCTTGTCTGCTCCATTGTACTGCTGAATGGCTGAAGAAGCAAAGCAGGGACTTCCCAACCTCACATCCCCACTCCCGTTTTCATGGCCATTTCTGTATCCTCTAGGGCTGCCAGGTCCCTCGGGGGGGCCCCGACCCGCTGGCCTGCATCCGTCCAGCGGGGGGAACCCTGCCCCCCAAACGCCCGGATCAGGCCGACGTGCCCAGTGCGATGACGTCACCCGAGGTATCATAGAGTTTTCCAGCCGAATATTAGAGCGTCCACTGGCGATGTTCCCGGAGCGATGACGTCATTCCTGGGTGATGTCATTGTGGTGCTCACGCGCGCATGAATGTCCCAGACTGGGAGCTTCTCTCCCCCTGCTGCAATAGGTAAACCTGGCAACCCTAGTATCCTCCCGTTCGCTTGTTAGCATCCTCTGTGTAGTGACAGAGAGCCAAGCCAACTTTGCTTTCTTTCATCTTGCTCAATTTTGTAAACTGGGGGAACTCACCATGCTATGCTTTGATATTTCCAATGCCAATAAAATTGAGAACAAACATAAAATAAATAAGAAGGGGGGACCTTACCAAGTCACTTCCTTTATCCAGCAGAATGTCTTCCAGATGCCTTGTGTCTTTGCCTGTAAAATTGGGAAGGCTTTATACTTCCTGCAGACCACCAAGCATGTGCCACATTTTTTTTTCAATCCCAAAAGGAACAGCCACTAAATAGGACAGCCAAAGGAAAAGGCGAGCTGCCGATTCAGAGGCAGCGGAGTGAAATTTTGGGAAGGGCTAACTTAAAATGTGGGTGGGAGGGAATGGTGGTTCCAGGCAACACAGCCCACGAGCTCTCAAGGGCACAGTATCTTCTTTGCTGGATATCTAATCCAAGACCTGCGGTCAACTCAGTATAAGCCCTCCAGTCTCCTTCATGGCCTCTAGCAAAGCAAACCAAGGCACTATATTCCCTTGAAAGGAAGATGACCCTGAATGTAAGATGACCCCCTTAAAAATGTTATTTAGCCCTGAGACCTGGATAGCCCAGGCAAGCCTGATCTCGTCAGATCTCGGGAGCTCAGCAGGGCCGACTCTGGCAAGTACTCGGATGGGAGACCTCCGTGGAATGCCAGCAGTCAGGAGGGGGGGGCAGGCTTTCTTCAGCCACTTCTCTGAATAGCCTCCAGAACCCCAGTAGGGGTCAGTCACCAGAGGTCGCCATGACTTCCAGGTGCGCATGCGCGCGCACAGACTCATAAAAATACCAACCCCCCCTCCATGTCATTTACACAAACAAATTACTATTTGACATAATTGTAACTTGCATGCAAATGTAAAACACACATACTCTTTCAAGGACTGCTCCTGAGAGAACAGCCCTGAGAGAACTTGTGAATGACCCAAGGTCACACCAGCAGCTGCACGTGGAGGAGTGGGGAAACAAACCTGGTTCTCCCAGAATCAGCCATGCTCCAGACAGAAATGATTGCTGGGAGCTGCAGAGTGTCAGTTAACCGGGG